AAAATGGCCGCCAGTCGGCTATTTCGAACTTGATCCGAAAAAAAAAATGACGTGCATCAAGGTCCTATTATGTTTAATGTATGTACCAAATTTGAATGAAATCCGTCCATGCATAACTGAGATCCGGGTCCGGAATGGTGAAAATGTGCGATTTCAATGCATTTTCGGCCTTAAAGCGGCTGCCATTTGGCTATCGTTAATGAGATCATGAAACAAATGCACATACATATTTGTGACATGATGCATCTTGTGTGTGTGAAGTTTGAACTCGATCAATCCAAGCATGTCTCAGATACGGATCCAGAACTGAATTCTTTAAAACAAAATGGCCGCCAGTCGGCCATTTCGAACCCGATCCAAAAAAAAAAATGACGTGCATCAAGGTCCTATTATGTTTAATGTATGTACCAAATTTGAACAAAATCCGTCCATGCATAACTGAGATCCGGGTCCGGAATGGTGAAAATGTGCGATTTTGATGCATTTTCGGCCTTAAAATGGCCGCTATTCGGCTATCGTTAATCGGATCATGAAAAAAATGCATGTGCATATGTCCCATATGTGTGATGTATGAGTGAAGTTTGAACTTAATCGGTCCATGCATGTTCGAGATACAGGTGATCACGGACGGACGGACGGACGGACGGACGCACACAGGGCAAAACATAAGTCCCCGTTTTCGGACTGCGTCCGAACGGGGACTAAAAATATCACATGGGATAATAACGTGCACGTACACAGCAAGATTCACCCTGTTTAATTCTGTCAAATTGTTTAAAGGTCTGAAGGTGAAGAGTGTGGTACAAAAATCAGTAAAAATTCTAGTATATATACAATATTATCCATTTCTTTTTGAGCTTTTTAATCATCGTCGTCATCACTTTCTATGATATTGTTTTTCGTTGGAGTAACTGTTTCTGTTGACGATTCTTTCATGCAGCTGTAAAAAAAAAATATTCATTGTTACTTTAGGGGGATTTGAAACATCAGGCACTTTTTTGTGACAACCTCAACCACAAATTCACAAAATCTTGTACAAAAATAAGGAAAATTTGAGGGATTCCAAAGATTAACCATCTAAAATAGGGGGACCTGGTGTGGACCCCCTGCTTTTAACAATGGTTTACCCTTAAGCAATGTAGTTTTTCCTTTTCCTCTGCAAATGCAAATACCTAATTATACTCTGAATTATACTCTAAAAAACTAAACCCAAAACATGAATAAATTCTTTAAATGCATAAACTGATTTGGATGTTACCTGTCCTGGGCGCTGCTGCATCCTGCACCTTCCATGTCATCTGGCACTTCATTCTCTTTATCTAATGATTTGCTTTTTGATGGAGCTGTTGTAATAAAGTTTCCCATACCTTTTTGCCATGAAGGGGTTGGTCGCACACAAACTGGATTGCCACCACCTGCATTTTTGGCTCCTACAGGAAAGCATTTTGAAATATGTCGAGACAAATTGACTTGAAACAAATCATTACGATGGTAAGAAGTTGTGCTTGCAAAACTCGTACTGTGCATTTTGTTTGGCTACATTTTATAACAATGCTGCTATGGTACTGGTATGATGTTTCGGGAAACATTTGATATTGGCAAAAGTAAAGAATGTAGAGTTTGATCAATTTTCCACAAACTGAAATATCACTTCTTTTGATCATAGAAATACCAGTAGTTCACATAAGCAAATGCGCTGCTCGAGCAAATACAGGGCAAGAGTTTTCTTGCACCCCACCCCATGCCCCTTACTTTAGACGGAGCATATACAATTAAATTGGGGAGAGTTTGAGGGGCGAGGGTACAAAAGGAACCTTTTCCCACCAACATTACAAGTATCCAAGTTGCGATGTGACTGACCTGCTTTGCCAGGCGATGCAAATGACGCTGATTGACTTGAACTGCTCAATGCTTTCCTTGGTGCCTTGGCTGCAACAGCTGTGAAGCAAAATTAACAAATCATAATCTATTATTATTAATCTAGATTTTAGTTAGATACTGCTCTAAAACATTTGTTCATGAATTTGGGCAACAGTTTACAATAAAGTGATTTTGTCGTTAACTCGCGATTACATTCAAGTGGTTTATAGTTCCATGATTCAAGTAATTTTGTAAATTATGTCAGCTAGTTAATAATTCAATTTCGTGAAAAGTGAAAAACGAATATATATACCAACAATGTTTACACAAGCTTTCCGCCTGTGAAAATTAATCTTGTAATTTGTGGTCTGAACAATGCGAGGGTTACGGAAATGATGGGTAACTTTATCAATCAATTAATTCGGGCCCGCCACATTGCTAATGGCAGCTGGGATGTCATCTTGGAATGTCATTGTCCAGCAATCAGTGCTTCACGACAAAACTGCACGAGAATTTTTATTCTTGCAGACTATGTCTGACTACCCCTTGTGAGGAAATGAACATTGAAAAACTGTTCACTTCAGGACTCTAAATGCAATGAAATGTTTTCTCTTGGCAGCGTTCGTGACATTGAGAAGCTAGACTAGCTGCCCGGATTAGCCGTCACTTCGACCGCGAAAATGAGTTATTGCTGCAAAAAAAAATACTTGTCAACCCACCTTTTCGTCCACACCCATCAGCTTTTGTTCTAACCATTGTGATATGAAAGATAATTTGGTGAAAAATGAGGAGTTGCTCTAATAATCCAGACAAAGTGCGCGCTCGGTGTCACTCTCAGTGTCTTGGTGTGTATAAATGAAAGATAGTCAACATGTGAATTTTCGCGCGCTCTGAGTCAATTGGCCGTAAATAGGAGTATTCTATTTATAAAAATAGGTGTCAATTTGGTTTATACATTTGTGAAGTCAGCATAAATTCAGTTCATTTCCTAACTGTTCGTTATTTTACATTAATTATATTACATAGTTTAGCACACCTTTTATGTATTAATGTAACTACTAATATTCTATCAACAAACATAATAGTGCTAATTTTAAAGTAGAACACCCTAATTAAAAATAGTGCAGTCCTTTTCTGGAGGTCATTTGTGGTTACCAAAGCATTCAGGGTCATTATGTTTTTGAACCTATTAACTATATGGCTGATTCAATTTATTTTTTTATATACATTTGGGGATTTGGGGGAGTATGAACGGCAAAAACTTAAAATAAAAAAAAAGTGCTGTGCAGTATAACCATCGGCTATTTTCGGTTATGTTCGTGTATTCAACATGGCGGCCTCCTTGTGCAATAATATCGACACGATTAAATCCTGCTGATTCAACATAAATTTACACAGGACACAGTTTCTGTGTGTTATGAGGTGCAGTTGTTGTTTGGTTATCCTTTGTATTACCAAAAATAATGTCAGCACATACTGTGGATACGGCTCTTGTTGGCTGGTGCCGGGAAGAACTGTCAAGACTTCTGCAGAACGATATTGCAGAAGACATTGTAAGGTAAGCCGGGTCTCAAATTGTAGGCAAATGGGATGGAGGGGGTTCTAAAAAACATGTATCGACAGGGAAGTTTGTCTTATTTTAAAAGAAGGCATATGGACTAATCATGATTAATAGCACGTCCCACAACAATATTTCAAAACATAGGGACAGGCTCTTAATTCTCCACGAAACTTTATCAAAACCAATATTTAAATATTTTTTTCAGACAGTGGCCTATAATCTTCATAAAAATGCTTCCTACTGTTTCCCCGTGGCGTGTGAAATATTTCTACAAACGCTGCCTGCTTATCTCTTCGTTAATATCAATTGTACTGAATGGTAAAAACATAAACACAAAACATAAATTACAAAGAAAAATACTGACAATCACACATAGATTACTCATACGAAGTGAAATGACCCAAAATAACGTACCTTTCTTAACAACACAAAATGCTGGTCACATGGATAATATGGCTTTATTACGATACGGTACCAGAAAAAGAAATTGTCAATCACCATGGAACAACTGTATACATAAGCAATATAAAATTAAAAAGCTCTTACATTTATGTAAAAATAAATTAATTAAAGCTCAAGATGATCCCCTCACTGTTACAAATTACTTCTTGAATTCTGTTTCTTAGCCACAAGGTATTTATAACTGGTGACTGGTCACTAAAAGGTGATTCATCTAGATAATAAATTGGGTGTAATGCAATCCCCACTTGAGTGACAGGTAAAACCTTAGACTTAGTGATAGCAAAGACATACAATTCCTGACACTTCAGTGATCTAAAAATTTAATATCAGACTGTAAATGCCAGCATCAAGACTGGTTGAAATATGTATGTGCAATAAAGTGTAATCTACAAATCATGGACAATTAGATTTTATATTTACAACCAAGTCAATAAAAGTATTAAAAAGAAGTGGTCTCAAAATACTTTTGCAATGATAAGTAAGAATTGAGCCAACCCTATTTTAAAGCATGTTCTGAATATTAAATTGCTCAGCCAATTTATGCAATATGTTGTAATGTGATGTGATGTGGAATTGCAAGTCAAATAAACAATATAGGATCTGCTGCTTGTTTTCCGCCAACCACCACCGTTGTCTGCCGCACCCAGATACTTATTGAATTCTTAGTGGAGTGTCATGGATTGGATGAAAAATTTGTTTATCAGCACAGTGTTTGTGTGACACAACAGCCATCTGAATACAATAAAAAACATCACCCGCGTTGTGTTAAAATTTGTAAAAGTATTTTCATTTGCAGATTTTCATATCTCAATTTCAGTTCTCAAGAAATTCAGGAAGTGAATTAGTGGTGGTATTCTCTCACTATTAAGTCCAATTACAAACCATTATAATCTATCTAGGTACATCTTGGGGATTGAAGATGTTGAAGAATTACAAGAATATTTATTTGAATTGTTGGATGGATCCAATCGAGAGCATAAACAATTTGTTGATGACCTTGTCCTGCGTGTAATGAACCCACCAGCAGTGCCAGAAAATGTACACATTTACAGAAAAAAGGATGATGTTGACGAAATTGCAACAGGCGCCAAGGGTAAAGCCAAAAAAAATAAACATAAACCTGAGAAACAGAAAATTGATCTGATGAAGGTTCCATATAAGCCAAGGATGCCTGGTGATCCTTCTCCCGTAGTAAGTCACTGTTTTATTCTACCTTTAATTAGACAAGGATTTTCAGTCTTTGAAAGAAATAGTGTTTATGCGATGAAAAGTAATGAACGGAGGAATGCTGAATAAAGGAACAGATGCTTATTTGTGTGTTGATGCTAGGTAATTGGTTAGAAACTGTGTACTGTGATTGGCTAAAAAAATTGCAAGAGGAGGCGAAGAGCTAAACTGATGCTCAAGTTTAATAATATAAGGTTATTACGAGACTACCTCAAAGTATGCACGAAGACAGTACAACTGGAGTATCGACCGACGCGCAGCGTACTGTCTGAGTGCATACTTTGAGGTATACTCGTAATAACCTTATTATTATACATTTTTTCCTTTAAAGGATACACCATGGGAATGCCGAAATTCAAAATGTTTAGAACAGAATCAGCGAACTTCTTTGTGTGGAGTCCGGTCAAACTCTGGTGGCAGCCATGTTTGTTTTTGTTATTAGAGAACGCTTACGTGCGTAATCATTCCATTATTTGGAATTCGCATTTCCTAATATGGTAGGGTGAAAATACCTTGTAAAATACCACAAAATTACGGCACGCTGTAATGGCGTTACGGTTACAGATGTATAATAACAATGAATAATACAAAGATTAATACAAAATAAAAAAAATAATACAAATAGGAAAATAACTGGAATAAGATTTTTTTTTTTGCTCTAGTACGGGCCACAGAAATAAGTTAAAAATAAACTAATATAGTTTGTCTTCAAAGTCTTGTACCTAGCCAAAATCAAAATCTTATTTTAGCAGGGTGTCAGAGACATTTTGAGAAAGGAAATGTGAAATTCAACAATTTAAATTCATGTTTTGTGATCTAATTTTGCGCCATGTATGCCATTTTTTTTCTTTGCCGCCAAATACATGTCAGATCAATACATCTCATTTAGTATTATGTGATGATGTTGTCTGCAAATCATAATATGTGAAGATATTTGAATGTGTGATCTAATATAATTAAGTTCTACATATTGTACACCAAGTTTAAATTGGTCTCCAATATGTATATTTAGAAATGCACTGTTTATAGTGTTTCTCATTTTAGGAAATGGTTTATGATAAACATAGAAAGTCAATCTTAGCATTCCATCTCAATAGTTGTCTTGGTAGGTTCGTCAGTGAAGTACTGTTTTGCTACTCTCTAATAGTCTGGGCTTCTTCCTAAGATTTCACCTTCAGAAAGTTGCTACAGCGACGCATATGTGACCATCCCATTTTTCATGACATTGCAATGAATTTACAAGGTTAATGAAAAAGGGAAGAATAGAGAGGAGATGTACACCTAATGGTTGCTGATATCCATTATGTTGTGTTTGGCTGTGTTTGGGTGAAGTGCAAAGCCAGTTATTTATTTTAAATACTATTAATACATTTCAATTCCTTATTTTCGCAGGAAGATGAGATCATTCCTAACTCTAAAAGCCCGCCACAATCCGATGTCAACAAGCAAGGTGCAAAGAAGAAACAGAAATTTGTAGCACTATATAGTAAAGAAGGTGAAGAGAAAAGTACTGTTAAAATACCAGGTAGACACCCATGTGAATGTCAGGCTCACAGGCACAGACTGGTAAACAATTGCATAAAATGTGGCCGTGTTGTGTGTGACCAGGAAGGTGCAGGGCCATGTTTTTTTTGTGGTTCATTGGTATGTATTTTTGGTTAATGCTTGATATTATTTACATACTTCAACTGTCAACAAAATCAAACACAGCTGCACAATGCGTCTCCATGGTAAAGAGAACATGAAGTCAAGTGCTGTGGCCCATTTCCATGGGAAATTGAATACAAAGTTGCATGTTTTTGTTAAGCTATGTCGTGATATAATTGGTAAGAGTTGTTATTATGTACGGTACGCTAATTGTTGGATCCAGCCCCTTGCTGCGCCCAATCAAATCATTCAAGTTAACTAAGGGTCAAATACAGCTTTTCCTAACATGATCACGCACTGGTTCGTAGGGATGGCCATGAATGGTTAGCTACAGCAAAACTGTGCGAATCAGCCGATGCAAAATTACAAACTCAGCTATAACATCATGTTCTCTTTTATAAGCATTTGTGTGCATCATATTAGACTTTTTTTCAGTAGTTTATGTAACCCATTTATGAAACTATGTTCACAACAGACTAGATGGACTAGGTACCACTGTTGGCTTGTTTTTGTTCGAAAATCAACAAATAAAGAAATGTTGTTTCCTTGGATCAAATCACAATGAAAATACCCTGTCAACTGTCAAATCTAAACAATTTTCAAAAGTATGATATATCAAATTTGCTTAAAACCTACTGTGTTTATTTTTGTTGGTTCGTAATTGGCTTTTACTTGAAATTTGTACATGTGTGATGTAAGTTGTCTTGGAATATTCAAACGTGATCTCAATGCCGAAGGTTGAAAATCAATCGAATGCCAAAAGAAATGAAAAAATATCACCCATGTCTGTCTCTACGTTTTCTAGTGTCTTTGCTTTCATCTATCAACATTGGTGTGATTGATGACAACCAGCAGTCTAAATCCAAGATGGTTACATGCACAAACTTGATTCCTGTTTTCTAGGTGTGTTCTTCAGAACAGCTTGAAATCTTAGCAAGGAACTCGCACAAAAGTGAGAAGCTGATGCGAAAATTAATGGGTGATGTTATCGTTAAAGATAAAGCATTAGGAACAGTGGAAAAAGATTCCAGTAAACTTTGCAGTGGTTTGGATAAAGCTATAATGCACAAGAATAAACTTATTGAATACGATAAGACAAGGTATTTTGTTTTGTGAACCTGGTGCTTACATACCACGATTGCAGCATGTTATAGTTACTACATGCTTATTCCTTCATCTTTGCTGAATGTGAGAACTAAATAAAAATATCACTGCATGCCCCATGTACTGTGGAATACTTTATTTTCGCTGGAATTAATTTTCGCTGAAGAGACTTTTTGGGTGTTTTGTATGGAATTTATTTTCACTGATTTTTGATGAGTTGAATGTTAAATATAGGAAAAAAAGTATATTTGCTGGATTTTATTTTCACGGAATCATCCCTTCAGCGAAGGTAGCGAAAATAAATTTCAAGCGAAAATAAAGTATTCTACAGTATTTATATGCTCCGCCATACACCACACTATGATGAACATACACCATTTATGTAATAATGCATGGTCTATGCATATATATAACTTCAGGTTGTTCTGTACTTCTGTAGTGCACGAAGAACACATGTAATTGATGATGAATCAGATTATTTCGCAACTGATACCAATAGATGGTTATCAAAAAAGGAGAGAGAAGTCTTGAAAAATAGAGAAGATGAGCTAAGGGAGCAAAGACATGGTTCCAGAAGAGGCAAAAAGATTACACTAGACTTTGCTGGGAGAAAAGTAATTGAAGACAATGAACCAATCAATATGTACGACAGGTAGGAATCCTCTTCTGGCGTGTTATTGTGTATGTTTCTGGTTGTCGATATAATGAGAGAGGTCACACCACCCAAATCAAAACTAACAAGAGAGCTAGTAAATACTACTCGTATTATAGATTATTTTGAAGAGATTTCACTGTCATATCTTTCCTAAAACTTATTTTAGGTCCGTCACTAAAACATGTTTCATCATCATGCTAGTTTTGTTTGAAAAACCAGGCTTCACACTTTTTAGTCCCCGCTCGAATCAAAGTTGGTATGGTGATCATATCTATTGGGTTATAATTGCATGTCATATATTTTCTGTGATTCAAACTAATATAGCTGACTGGTGGCCATTTTGTTTTTCATGATACCCATGCCTACTTTCTCATGAATGCAATGAACATTTGTGTTTAAATTTTGTACAAAAACAGTATATCAATAGATACATCAACATGAACATTATTTTTGTAATTTGGTTCAATATGACTGCCCAATATCCAATTCTCTTGTAAAAGCACTAAATCATAATTTTTTACAAATCCATCTCCTATTAATGGTTTCAATCTAATCTCAATGACTTAATCAGCATCAAATTGATATGTCAGATCACAAAATTGTGGACAGGGACTGTGTCATTAACAATGACTTGTTATTTTTTACATAGTGGTAAACTGCACCAATACAATAGAATATGGAAATGTTTTCTGCTGCAGAGGATGTTTAGTCATTTCAAATAGATCTTTACTGCATATATTTCAAAGCATTATTTAATAGATCATGTTAATTGTTAAACATACATGTATATCTTGTTGTTATGGTATTGAATAATCGTAATACATAAAAAAAGAAGAAGAAAAACATGCCACTGCATTGTTTTTCAGTATTTCTTATTCCCAATTTTGTTGTTGTCAATTCATTTTTATAGGGAGGATGCAGTAGTCCAAGCTGTAAATTTTGGTACTGATTACAGGACTGAAAGTCAAAAGACAAGTGGTCTTATTAAACCTGGTATTAGCCAGCCAGCACCAAAAGTGAGTTATAAGTGAGATACAGGTGCCAATAATTTGTACATCTTCAAGACAAAATTGATATTCCTATCGTGTTCTTCAGAGGTATATGCCCAGTCATGGCAGCTAATTTGAATATAGTGATAATAGCTTATTTACACATAATTATAGCTAATTTGCACCGAATATACCTTTTTCCTATATTTTACATTCAACTTTTAAAAAATTAATTCCAGCTAAATTAAAGTATTTTACAGTAGCTTATTTACATATAATGATAAGAGCTAATGTGTATGTGTATTTTGTTAAAGCAGAAAAAATTAACAATAATCTCTGCTGTTACCAGTTTGTTTTAGATAACAAGTCTCAAGCATCTACTGGTAATAGTAAATCAGAAATCTCACAATCACGTATTCTACGTATTCAAGATAAAGAATTACTTGAAATGTCAGATGATGGGATGTGTTTGAGTATGCACCAACCCTGGGCGTCATTGCTTATAGCTGGTATTAAAAAGTAAGTTACTTGAAATGTCAGATGATGGGATATGTCTCAGTATGCACCAACCCTGGGCGTCATTGCTTATAGCTGGTATTAAAAAGTAAGTTACTTGAAATGTCAGATGATGGGATATGTCTCGGTATGCACCAACCCTGGGCGTTATTGCTTATAGCTGGTATTAAAAAGTAAGTTACTTAAAATGTCAGATGATGGGATATGTCTCGGTATGCACCAACCCTGGGCATCATTGCTTATAGCTGGTATTAAAAAGTAAGTTACTTAAAATGTCAGATGATGAGATATGTCTCAGTATGCACCAACCCTGGGCGTCATTGCTTATACAAATGTAGCTGGTATTAAAAAGTAAGTTACTTGAAATGTCAGATGATGGGATATGTCTCAGTATGCACCAACCGAGGGCGTCATTGCTTATAGCTGGTATTAAAAAGTAAGTTACTTGAAATGTCAGATGATGGGATATGTCTCAGTATGCACCAACCCTGGGCATCATTGCTTATACAAATGTAGCTGGTATTAAAAAGTAAGTTACTTGAAATGTCAGATGATGGGATATGTCTCAGTATGCACCAACCCTGGGCGTCAATGCTTATAGCTGGTATTAAAAAGTAAGTTACTTGAAATGTCAGATGATGGGATGTGTCTCAGTATGCACCAACCCTGAGCGTCATTGCTTATAGCTGGTATTAAAAAGTAAGTTACTTGAAATGTCAGATGATGGGATATGTCTCAGTATGCACCAACCCTGGGCATCATTGCTTATAGCTGGTATTAAAAAGTAAGTTACTTGAAATGTCAGATGATGGGATATGTCTCAGTATGCACCAACCCTGGGCATCATTGCTTATAGCTGGTATTAAAAAGTAAGTTACTTGAAATGTCAGATGATGGGATATGTCTCAGTATGCACCAACCCTGGGCGTCATTGCTTATAGCTGGTATTAAAAAGTAAGTTACTTGAAATGTCAGATGATGGGATGTGTCTCAGTATGCACCAACCCTGGGCGTTAATGCTTATAGCTGGTATTAAAAAGTAAGTTACTTGAAATGTCAGATGATGGGATATGTCTCAGTATGCACCAACCCTGGGCGTCATTGCTTATAGCTGGTATTAAAAAGTAAGTTACTTGAAATGTCAGATGATGAGATATGTCTCGGTATGCACCAACCCTGGGCGTTATTGCTTATAGCTGGTATTAAAAAGTAAGTTACTTGAAATGTCAGATGATGGGATATGTCTCAGTATGCACCAACCCTGGGCGTCATTGCTTATAGCTGGTAAGTTACCAGTACATGAAATGTTAGGTGATGGCAATAGCATGGGTATCATATATACTGGTCACCCACTCTTTTTTTCTCAATATGTTCCTACCTGGGTTGTATTTAGACCTTATGACCAGCAAAGTAATGTACACCTGTGTATTTCAATTTCTAGACATGAAGGTAGAACCTGGTACAGTGCACATCGAGGCAGGTTATGGATAGCCGCTGCTGCTAATAGACCAACTCCACAAGAAATAGCTGAAGTTGAAAATGCACATAAGATTATTTACCCGAGTAAGTCTAATTGGATTGAATATTTTGATACTTCTACGGAATCTACAACACAGTTATAAGCCTGTGCATACAGCTGAAGACACTCAACACTTATTATCAACCTTGAATGCGACACATGCTCAAGCAGGCTTTGTTTCTACCAAAATAAAACCACTATGAGATACAAAACCTTGTCAGTTGGTCTGAATTATGACTACCATATTTGCAATATTAGAAATGTATCTTCTATAGACACAGGTATGAACCAAAAAATGCATTTATTGTATGCTGAATCATCAAAATATTGCAATGTCACTGCTTAAAACTCTTTCATCCGACACGTTTTGCACAAAACACTAAAAGTGTATAGTGGTCTTACTATCACATTTTATGGAAAATTAAACAGATTGCAAAACATGGTGCAAATATGACTTGTCATGGTTCCTCTGTCTGCTTAAGCAACATAGTGTTACAGGCATTAATATTTTGTTGAGAGTTAAAGTTCCAATTTTGCCACTCTTCAATAGTGGATTTTAAGAGGATGACAGAGTTATTATGCCATATTATGATTATTTGATTCGTAGAAATGTAGAGAAGTAACATCCTTTATGTTGGAAGAAATTAATACTTGTTGACTATATATCTCTGAATACGTACAAGTGTATGTATATGTAAAGACAAGTAAACAGTTTTGTCACTATCAAACAGCATTTATAATAGCCTATTTTTAAGAGAAATATGAAAACAATAATTCACAATCACTGTGGCGCCGGGATGTGTTGATGCTGGTTGTAAAATATGACAAATAATCTGAAACTGATTAGACAGGTAAATATAATACAAAAACAACCAAATAAATTATAAAATGAAAATTTAATTTATTGTGATTGGGTATGAACACTGAATGTGGAATGATACAGGTCTGCCAAAAAACTGTTAAGTACATTTCTCCACATTGTGTCCTTTACAATACTGTATAGTGATCCCACTGTGTGTGCCTGCTTACCATGTAGATGGAATAAACTTCTTCTTCTTTACTTTGTTTTTTTTGCAGATGAACATTTTGATTTCCCTTCCCAGTATCCAGTCAGTTGTTTGTTGGGTAGTGTTGATGTTACAGATTGCTTATCACAAGAGCAGTATCGAGAAAAGGTAAACAACTTTTAATTGCCAACAAATGTCCTTCCATTTGTACCAATTCAAGTTTATTAATGCTGCATCTTGATTTCTGATTTTTATATCTATTAATTTTACTTTTCTGTTGAAAAACAGGAATTGCTCTCATTGGTCTGTTGTTTCTCAGACATGCATTTACAGATTTTATTTATATAAATATCGTAATTATCCAGGTAAGCGCCCAGGGTCCTGAAAATGAAAAATTGACAACATGCAGATTAAATTGTGACAGGGAATAGAATGGCAAATGAAAATATTCACTGGAAATAAATGAACAATATGCAACTTAGAAGTATAACAAAAATAGTTTATTGCTTATAATGTGACAAATAAACCAACATAATAAAAATAGACAGTGAGGAATCATTTGAATTAGCATTTCCTCGCCGACAAACACGCCCAATACATCTGAACTCAAAATGAACTAAAATGTCAGGGATTAAACTGCGTAAAATTATTTTTGGTTTTGACAAATTAAAAATCAACTGTCATACAAGGTCAATAATAATTTACAAATTTCATGGTAAAAATTACGGAGGTTCGTAGTTGTTTGAAAAAACTTATCACATCTCTGTCAATCATCTTTGCCCTTTAATCATCTGCTTTACTGATTGGCTAAGAATGACATCACTACTCGTGTTTCATCATAGAGGTCAAGTCAACATTGCTTTCTTATCAGACTAGGCACTCATCAATCACGGTGAAAGTTACCATTCAGCAAGTTCCGACAGTTGAAATGTCTCACTGTATGGATATCGTGCTGGGCTTGAACTAGGAATTTTTTTTTCTCCAATGACAGAAGAATAATTTTCATGACAGAAATGCAACAGCGGTGATGAAAGATGGTAAAAAAGTTGGCAGTCTTCGGCGTGACATTGCAAAATTGCTGGCCCCAGTTATGGATTCACAAACTGTCAACTATTTATAAAGCCAAAATAACGTTATTTCAAGCACTTTTCCTGGTATGGGTTGATACAATATTGCAACATTGATTTCATTGTCGACGACGCTAAAGCCGAACGAGTATGACACTTGCTTTGCGGCTCTTTATATACTGCAAGATTTGCTTAAATTGTTTCTAAGGAAGCACAAACCAAGCAGCCCTTTTCAGGGCCACAACATATTTCTAAAAGAGAACTACCGTGCTGCCCTGAAGGCTCTCACAGTTATTTCGCGTTCACCCCTCGTTTTACGCAATCAACAGATATTTTTCACAACAAGAAAGTCAACTGTTAATACAACGAAAAAAAAAAGTGTAGAAAAAGATCCCCTGGGCGTATGCCTGGACATGATCTCAATTTCTTTATTGTATCAAAATTGGGGAGTGGGCGTTTTGCATCGGCCCTTACCCAGATAAATATGGTATATGAATGAAAGAACTTAAAATTTTGCTCTTTTTTGAGTTGCCCGTAAAAAAATGTGAATTTCAACTATAGAGGGCGCTTCATATAGTTGGCATGTTTTTTTTAACAGCATGTCTGTTTCAATTAATTACACTTTCTGCTTCGTATGTAAAACATGCTTTTATATTAACAATGAAACATGCATTTAATTTATCTTTTTTGCCCTCAGATTCCAGATGGAGAGTCTGGTTCACCATATATTTTTATTTGTGAAAATCCACTTGAGTTGATTGTTAAATTTCCCATTAAAGGAAAACATAAAATTTGTAAGTACCTTTAACTGTAATTACTGTGGAATACTTTATTTTCGCTGGAATTAATTTTCGCTCGGCTGAAAAGGCTTTTTGGGAGTTTTGTATGGAATTTATTTTCACTGATTTCTGATGAGTTTAATGTGAAATATAGGAAAAAAAGTTTATTCGCTGGATTTTATTTTCATGGAATCATCCCTTCAGCGAAAATAGCGAAAATAAATTCCAAGCGAAAATAAAGTATTCTACAGTATTTGTTTCATATTTTACAGACTACTATAATTCCCAATTGTTACTCAGTGCTTACCGAAAAACGTTCACAATAATTCAAAATGTTCACATTAATTATTTTTTACTCCAGTGTAGTCTTTGCATTTTGTGTGTCTGTGTATATATATTTGGGAGGTGTCTTTTCCACTTATATCACAGGAACCAATTATCAGATTTCAATTTTAAGCATTTTCATTTGTTTTTCAAGTACCATTTAACAGATTTCAATGTAACTTGGTACATAGATGCTTTGGTATAATGCTTAGACCTGAATAGGTTTTGGTTAAAATCTGTGCATATTAATGATCTAATTTGCATATTAATAAGCCCATTTTAAGCTTTTTCACCAATATCTCGTCAGATTTCAATGAAACTTGGTACATATGTGCTTTGGTATAATACTTAGACCTGAATAGGTTTTGGTTGAAATCTGTGCATATTAATGATCTAATTTGCATATTAATAAGCCCATTTTAAGCTTTTTCACCAATATCTCGTCAGATTTCAATGAAACTTGGTACATAGATGCTTTGGTATAATACTTAGACCTGAATAGGTTTTGGTTGAAATCTGTGCATATTAATGATCTAATTTGCATATTAATAAGCCCATTTTAAGCTTTTTCACCAATATCTCGTCAGATTTCAATGAAACTTGGTACATAACCCATATCCATGCTTAAGGTTAACTTTTGCGCTTACTAATTACGTAATTTGCATAAATTACCCAGTATCCAGATATCTTGAGTATCATCAAATTAAAAAAAAAACTGGAACACAGGTGCTTTTGGATAATCCACATATCCTTTTACTTCAGGGTTGAAATCCAAGCATATTAATTACCTACTTTCTGAAAATTGGGTCATATGAATATGGGGTCAAGCCCTGTTGCTGATAAGGGCTTGCAACTAGTGCTCTAATGAAGGAATTTGACAAGAAGTATGACTAACATATCAGATGACCATATATGGTCATGTGACCTAATTAAAACTGTATTATCTTAAGTATAGTTGCAGATAGGGACATACAAATAGTACTATAATTGTGTTTTCGGATAAGATACAAGACCAAAATATCAAGTCATCAAATATGGTCATGATTTCATTAAATATTTATAATTGTTATACCATAGCCACTTGGAACCACCCTGATCAGTTTTGCATTTATATTTTAAATGCCATTTTTCCTCCATTTGAAGCTCATATGCATAATTGTAAATGACAATGGCAAGTCTGGTCAAAAAAAGTCATATTTTAATGATTTTGCATGCAATAGATAAAATTTATTCTTTATACATATTGGAGATGTGCTTCTAATATAGTAAATACAGTATTTCTTATTTGTGATTCATGCTTCCAATACCCTTAGCAAACAGAAGTTCTTTCTAAACTTTTTTTGATTTAGTTATCTGTTTTTATTTGTATTTGCCATAGAATAGAGAAACCCAAATGTTCATATGTCATGTGGACGTTCAAGGCACAGTGACTTGATGGAATTTTGTCAAATTTTATCCCAGAAATTCAACTGTTTACACCTATGCTCTTCAATAAATGCTGTTTTTCACACGAGAGACAAATTTGGATGTAGCAGTGAACATTTCACTTTATGGGTCAGTGATTTTGTCAAATTTGGCCTTTCTATCTAGATTTGAGCGTTTGCTACATTTTTTTTAATGATACCTGAATTGTATGAATGAAAAATGGGTAATACCAAGGTTTATAATGAGGGTACGCTAATGTTCGCTTCTCATGAGACCTTCATCGCTTATCAGCGTACATGATTTTAAATCGTTGATGATATTTTTTGATTTCACTTAAATTTACCACTGCTGGTCAATCCTCTCACTTCCAACTTTTCATTATCCTTGTAATAACCCCAAAGATGAAAGTATGACAATAAACTGGTGAAATTGTTTACATATTCCTCTCAATTACTCTCCAACTGCATCCTCAGTGGATTAATATAGCTGTAAATAAAACTAATTTTGTCGCTCTTAACTGTCAATATGCATGTCTAACCTTGGTATAATTTAAGAGGCTGCAGTTTTTGACGTTGAAAGTTACATACTGCCCCCTATAGTTGGATTTAAGAAAGTAGATGCTTATGATAACTGATGGGACAAAAGGTTTGCTGAACAATAATCCTTTGTGTGATCTTTGTGTTGCCTATACAAACATTACAGCTGGCAACTCATTTGTATCCACTTACTTTCTATGTAGTGGACGTTTCATTGTTAATGACAACAAAACGCTCTCGTACCCCACACCGTCATCGCCTTTGTTGTATTTGTTTTACAGGGAAGCTAGACCCACACATACATCAAGCAGCCAAGAAAGGCCTTCGCAGGAAATAAAAGCTGGGTATAATCATAGTATGGGAAACTCAAAGACGATGCAAATCTGATCAAAGCAGTAAAAGCTGTCGTTGCCCCAAGGGTAGGTAGAATGGATGGATCATTGCGTTATCAGCTCTCGAGATGTGGAGAAAGCAGGGAGCCACAAGAGGCCTGCTTGCTAGGGGCTTTTATGCACTTGTCCAGTATTAAAGTCTTGCCGTCGCTTTCAATCAATGACAGTTTGTTGGCTGGAATTATAACAAATTGTCAAGTTTAATATGCGGATCATGCATGGATATGCACCCAAGGAAGACGTTCTGATTTATTTTTAAAGCAGCGGAGTTGTAAATAACATGTTGTCAATGTTAATAATGTTACTTGTAAAATAATAAAAACGTAATTTGACAAATTATGTGTGACGATTCTTAAAGTAATATATCCGAGAATAAGCCAAGTTCATTTTGGCTGTATGCAGTCAAAGGATCCATTGCTGAAAACATTGTTATCATGGAACTTGATCTGAATACAAAATTGATAGAAATGCCATGCTTGTGAATTTCAGACAAAAGCTTTTGCTCGGCTCGGCCGTTCATTATTTATCATGTAAAATGTAAGCGGCTTCTAACCATGGTTTGTTCACTGGCCCTTATAAAATGACCAGAATCAAGTCAACCACATGGTGTGAACCAGCGGGAGAGAATTTTTGCTGGTATGGTATCAATTGCCCACCTTTGTAATAGTCTAACTATTGACACAATCTGTCTCTCACTGCTGCTCACACTATCCCAAGGACAATCAATATTTGAAATAAACTGCGACACTGATCCATAACACAATTTTTAGCTGGGGAAAGCGTTTTAGATGGCGAGAGTTGTTAATGTATGTAGCTGTCCTCTGGGGTGTCCAAACCCCGAGGGGGTTGGGCACTGCTGACATTGTAACTTATCATAATATAAAGTGGTCCCCTAAATGACTATGATGTTGCAATTAATAAGTACTCGGGCCATCTAGACTTAGTTAATTGACCACGGAAACTGTACGGTTTCACTCCACACCCGATTCGGGAGTCCATCATTAACAGCTGTTACATTGGTGAAACTAGACTCCGTTCATCACTGACTCAAAGAGCCTTGCAGGGTCCTTTCATTGGCATACTGAATTAGAAACTAACAAGTCTTGCCCATTTATTTTCATTAATAATTTCAAACTTCCTGGAGTCAAATTCTCTTCAATGTTAATTTCTTGTTTAATATCTTCACCAGTAATACATATTTTATGCCCATAACAATTAGATGAATGAATCTTGCGCATTATTTTAATTTGCCATTCTGTCCTTGAATGTTAATTATATTTTTAACTTTCACCCATCTCTCTCTCTTTAACAGTGGCCCGATACTTAGTATGGGAGGTTAGTTCGGATTCCTAATCCTAAGGGTGCCCTAGTCTTCTATCATGCAGAAAAATCTTTTATGCTTATACCGGTGTGGGAGGCCATACTTTTGTTGTGTGGGATTCATTAGTAGTTTGGTAACTTGACTGCACTGAAACATCTGTTGTTGAGTTTCTCTGCATAGTTGCTCCATTGTGATTTGACTTCTCTTATACTGGTATCGCAGCTGATTTGACTCACGAGTTTGGACTTAAAAAGAAATGGAAACCCTATAAAGGGATGGCGGTGGGTGTTGTATGAATATTGAAAACCAACTTACTCAAAGTCAATTGCTGTAAAATACTTCATTGTAACTGAAAACACGTGTTGGCTGTTTTTTATCAAGTTGAATGTAAAATATAGGAAAAAGGGTATTTTCACGGTTTAATCCCTTCAGTGAAAATAGTAAAAATAAATTCTAAATGAAAATAATGATTCAGAAGTAGTATGATAATTATTACAGAAACAAATAATACATAACTCCAAATGCAAACTAAAAAATATAACTGGAGAAAATAAAAGCAGTTCAGCCTGGACATTTGGCTTGATAACAAATATCAAGATGCTTTCAGAGGTAGACCATAACTCCTATGTAGCAGACCATTAGGCTTGCCATGTTTTGTATATACTATATGTAGAAAAATGGTGTGATTCTTTTTTAGTTTTTAACCGAAAGCAACCATGATAAAAACAGTATTTCATTGTATTGTTTATACAATTATGAATAATTCCACACACTGCATCTTCCACGCACACTTTTTCCCCAACATTGACATGTGAATAATGCAACAAACTTGGGTGACTAATTCAACACCTTCCAGGGAGAATATTGATAAACTACACTCGCCTTAACAAGGAGCTTGCAGCATTTGTCATCGGTGTTGTTGACATGAATGAATGATTTTATGAATGGCTTTGTTCTGCTTCACCTCATCCAATCCTGTCACATTCATGTGATGTACATTTAATACCCTGCATTCTTAACAGCATTCATTGTGGGAATGAACTGCTCTGGGCACTGATAGTAGCCCCCTCTCACCTTTTCCACAAGATATTAACTTATATGTTCTTTTTCATGTAAGGATCAATTGACTAAATCCATCCAGCATTGCAACTTTTTCTTCAAGTTTTGATGACCCCAGAACATTTAGAAATTTAATACTTTTCTCAGGCACAGATGAAATGACCCTCGGCTCAAGTATATTCAACAAACCTTTGACTCCAGGCATTGATATAATGTGCCCCCCAGGACATTTGGCAAATAAATCCTTCTTTCCCTTGGGGCACACTTGTAATGAAAACCCACCTCAAGTATTGTTCTACCAACCTTCAACTTGGGTATTGCTAGACTTCACGAAAAGTCACTTTTGCCACCAATGGTTGGGAAGAATTTTGAGCCATGAACTATTCAACAAAAATTGTCATCGTTTGAAAACATGTCATCCACAAAAATGAAAATTAAACACCAGAAAAACATATTAATTGATATAAAGTGTATGTTACAGTTCTGTAGTACTATTCAATTTTTCTGACAAATTCATGATTTTTCATTTCTCCTCATTTACAAAGCTGCTAATCCAATTTGAAAATAGGCTAAGAAAAACAATGTACAGTAGTATTGGTTAATATGACTAAAACTAATTTATTCTTGGTGGAAGCCTAGCATTGGTAAAATGCACTTTTCCTTACAGTGGTCTGGCCAGAAATGTATTTTAGCCAGTTTGTATCCAGAATATTATCAGATTTTACAAGGTTTCTAATAACCCCCCTCCCCATCGCACATGATTTTAACAATTAACACTCCTCTCTTTCACACAGGCATTCCCCCATTCAATCATTATTTATAAAATCAATGTTAGTATGAAACAATTTAACTGAATTAAATTAACTTATAAAATTTTAACCATGTAATTACTGAAGAAAGTTATTTCACCATCTTTGAGTATTCAGGGTGAAAGCCTAAACAAATGGCCCTTCATAGATTTACTTGTCGTTCTTTCAAATAAAAAAAAAATCCAAAATCGCAATCAAATTTTCATACTACTAATGGAAATCAGTTAATTGCTCTATTAGTAACAAGAAAACCAAGCCAGTTTGTAGCTCAAACCTTGAGCTGCATACTGAACACATCTCGCCACTATAAAGGAGATGACCAAACAGTTTAAGTGGATTTGTATGCGGTCTGTGCACTCGTGATTTGTACTTGCAAAATTTCCACAAAGAAAGAGTCAGGAGATACAATGGTGGCATTCATCATGTGGAACAAAATGACTGGTATTCACTGTATAAAAAACCTAAGCATTTATATTCATTGAAATTATACAGAATAAAAATGGTGAAGAAACACATTAAATTGACTTGTACTCTCGGCTTGAGTGATCTGTCTATGCAGTCTGGTGTATGCTTTGTTAGGACTATAATGTTGCCCTTCATGCCTCCTAAATTTTAAGGGTTTAATGTTTTCTTTGTGCGTTATCTTCACTTAGATGCAGTTTGTGATTCATTGTTTGGTTCATGGTCATAAATAAGGTCATTGTATTCAAAAAAAGCCAATTCACTTGTGTGTGTGTGTGTGTGTGTGATAGAGTGAGTGTGATGATCACCCCCCCCCTCTCCCTGATTTGGTACACATCTGCTTTATGTTACAACAATTGTTGTGGGTGTAATTATTGTCCCATGGGACTTGGTCCATCTGTCCAACATAATTTTTCGCATGTGCTTGGACCAATTTGGTTCAAACTTGGTGCAAAAGCAAGTTATAATGGTATTTTTATTTTGTTTTGTTGACTTTCTGACTGAATGGGAGCCTTTTTTGCCCCCCCCCCCCCAAACATGTCCTACACTGCTAGGCCAATTTTTTCATGCTTGCTAAAAACATGTGTGATTGTTACTGATGATTTGATTCTACATGGCTGACTGGCGGCCATATTGGTTTTATTTTTACGTGTCCTCAACCATTTTTCTGACTTGGTTTCACAGATTTTGTAAAAAGTTGTTACAATGACAAGACATAATTTTGTGTTGTCAAATTCAGTCAAATACAAACAAGGACTAATATGTCATTAACAGTGATTTTTTAAAATATTAAATGCAAAGAATTTATAATCTACAAGGTGAAAAATGTTGATCATATTAGTGAAAACCTAAATAAAAAGATAGGAGTTCAAAATATACCGGTAGTTGAGGCCTGTAGGTATGAGACATTATGTTGCATCTAGCACCAAAAACATTAAAATTTACTGTTCTGTAAAAAAAAACATCTACATTTGTTCCAAATATTATCGTCACTCATTCAAATTTTCCCTTATATGGGGTAATTAAACTATGTCTCCAATATTGAACATGTTAACAACACATTCAAATTCATTGTTTTGTTTACATTGGATGCAGAATCTCCATAGCATGTGACGGAAATGGAATCTTGTCAGACAACACAAAAGTTTGCACAGTGCAGAAAAAGATGGTACAATAATAAGGTAGTACTCAGGCACTACAGGATTACATTGATCTCTGATCATGCATACTTTGTGATCACTTATAGTGTCAGTCAGGTTCAATATAATACGAGTAAGTGAAATATGTGGCATGAGGAAAGTTTGTAAAAGTCAGAAAAAACTCAATGTTTCTGGGGAAAATTAAATGTCTTAATAATTCTGTAATCTGCTGTTCCTGTTTTGGAAGATATAATGAAATGTACTGAAACTGGGAATTGTTACATGAAACCACTGCTGGAAGTAAAAACAGTCGGGGCTTATAGAAAGCATTAAAGCAACAGTAACCCAATCACCAATTAAGACATATCCAGTGATTTAATTTCCTTTACTCTCCACAATTCCATTTTCACCAAGGGCGAAAAGTTATAACAGAATGAATTTTTAATAATATTCAAAC